AAAAAAAAAAAAAAAAAAAAATATTAAGCAGCAAAAACTGTTTGGAACATTGATAATAAATCAGAATATTAATAATAAATCACACTGATTTCTGAAGGAGGACAATGAAGACTCAAGTAATGGCTGATGAAAATTCAGGAATATTTGGAATTCAGGAATTCATTTGCATCACAGGAATAAATAATATTATAAAGTATATTAAAATAGAAAACATTATTTTAAATTGAAATAATATTTCATAAAATAACTATTTTTATTAATTTTTTATTAAAAAAAAAGCAGCCTTGGTGAGCAGAAAAGACTTAAAGAAGAGACTTTCAAAAAATCCTACTGATCCCAAAACTTTGAATGCCAAGATAGATAGATAGGTGGATGGATGGATGGATGGATGGATTATGGGTGGATGGATGGGTGGGTGGATGGATTATGGGTGGATGGATGGGTGGGTGGGTGGATGGGTGGATGGATGGATGGATAGATTATGGGTGGATGGATGGGTGGGTGGATGGATTATGGGTGAATGGATGGATGGATGGGTGGTATGTATGGATGGGTGGTTGGGTGGTTGGGTGGATGGATGGATGGGTGGTTGGGTGGTTGGATGGATGGGTGGTTGGGTGGTTGGTTGGTTGGATGGATGGGTGGGTGGTTGGGTGGATGGATGGATGGATGGGTGGGTGGATGGATGGGTGGTTGGATGGATGGTTGGGTGGTTGGATGGATGGATGGATGGATAGATTTCTGCAGTGATTCAGCTGAAGCACATACAGTGATGTATCGCTCCTGCTGTCCTCGTGTCTTCTGTCTCTTTTCTTGGGTTCTGCAGCATGTTGTGTTTTTCTTAAGATGACTGATGATTAAGTTTCTGCTCTCAGGAGTTTGTGCTTGTCCATCTTTCTTTTATTCTCAAGCACGGACCTGCATGCGATCGCTGGTGATGTTTTGTTTTGCTCAGATCGAGGCGGACTCACGCACGGTTTTGTTGTGGCCGATGAGGCTGTTGCTCTGCTGCTGGATGGTGATGAGTTTTATTTTAGGCTGATCGGTTTGACATCATTCACACTGAGATGCTCTATTGGACATTAATAACCCACACTAACTAACTCTCTTTGTCTCTGTCTGTCTGTAGAGTACGGGCGGCGCGTGAAGGAGCGAATGCATCACAACATCCCGCATCGCTTCACGGTGGGGCTGAACATGAGAGCCGCGAAATGTGCCGTCTGTCTGGACACGGTTCACTTCGGCCGACAGGCTGCCACATGTCTGGGTACAAAAACACAAATGCACAAATGTGACCCTGGAGCACAAAAGCAGTGTTAAGTCGCTGGGGTATATTTATAGCAATAGCCAAAAATACATTGTATGGGTCAAAATGATACATTTTTCTTTTATGCCAAAAATCATTAGGATATTAAGTAAAGATCATGTTCCATGAAGATATTTTGTAAATTTCCTACCATAAATATATCAAAACTTAATTTTTGATTAGTAATATGCATTGCTAAGAACTTAATTTGGACAACTTTAAAGATGATTTTTTCAATATTTAGATTTTTTTGCACTTCTGAGAAGTGAGCTAACCAATAATATGGTTACATATACTATTATTGCTCACCAATAATATGGTTACATACACTACCATTCAAAAGTCTCTTCTTCTCACCAAGACTGCATTTATTTGATCAAAAATACAGTAAAAATTGTGAAATATTATAATTTAAAACAGCTGTTTTCTATGTTAAAATCTGTTAAACTGTAATTTATTTCTGTG